TATCTCCCTGACTGCTCTGCAGCAACCATGAGTGCCAAGCCCAAGTGTCTGCCATCTTCGTTGGAGCAGAGGATCTTGCCACCAAAATCAGCCACTGCCACTGAGGCGTTTTCTGAGGCACGACTGAATTGTGTGGCATGCTCTTCTGTTTCTGCTCATCTGCCATTGGTTGCTCTTCTGCAGGTCTGTGCCTGCTTGACCACAACAGGGAGCAGACTCTTTGTCCTGTCTTTGGAAGAAGGGGGTCCCCATCCTCCTTGGAAATGAAGCCACCTGAGGCTGTGTCAAAGTTCTCCATGTCCTCCATTGCCTCCGCCACTCCGCCCTCAGAAGGGGTGGGGTTGAAGAGCAGGCCAAAAGGAGCAATTGAGGTGTAGAATAAAGAAATGAGCAGTAGGTTGTGGCCCTCACTTTACGGAATGGCCTGGCTGATGAGGTCAGGAAGGCTCCCACTCTACAGGCTTTCTACAAATTTTGCAAAACTGAATTATTTAGGAGGCCTTCTTTACACAGGTAATAGAGCTTACTGTAACAAAATGTACAGGGACTGTGGACTATACTACTGTGAATAGTATGTACTATCTGTTGCTGTTGAGTATGATCCTGCTATGTAATCTTTGTACTGTTAAGATGTCATGTTAAAGCTTAAACCTTGTTTCAGCTTCATTTTCAGATTTCTGCATGTTTTCAGATTTCTGCAATCCAAACTTCATAGTTCTATTTGCTGAATGTCTCATCCTGTCAATCTTATTTGCCTTACTCTGTTGTAAACCAGTTTGAGCCTCACTGAAAAAGGCAGACTATAAATAACATAAGTAAAATAAATAAAGACTAATACATTTATAAGCTTTCAAGGGCTACAACCCGCTTTTATCAGATGCAATAATCTAATGGTAAATCAGTAGGTAATGCATCCTTAAGCACTGATTTAAACAAAAAGATTTTATACAATGGTCCCCAAAGCCAAGAAATACTAGAGACAAGAACAGGCTAGTGTGATGTAGTAATCTGAGTGCAGGACCAGGACAGCGAGATCTGGGGGAGCTTGGACCGGCCACTTTTTCTGAGGCTAGCAGGAGAGTTGTGGGGGGCAAAACAGAGGAAGGGAGACCCACACCTGAATTCCTTTAAGAAATGGCAGCATTAAAAAATTGCAATCAGTGGGTGTGTCCTAACTCTGTGTGGAGCACAAGGGAATTTAAGACCTAACCAAAGTTGACAGCAGAAATTACAAATGGCATACAGGGAAGAAATGTAAGCAATATTACTTTTTGATCCTAAAAACATATATGGGGTAAAAACACACATAGTACAGCTTCAGTGGCAACCTATGCATGAGGAAAGTTGGCCAAGTCCACCATGCTAGCGTGAACTTCTTTGTAGAGCTGAAATTTCTCTTTCTGATGGGCAAAAGACGTTGAGGGGGTGCATTGCCATGTCAGTCCTACTACCCATGTCATGTTTTTTCACTGCTTACTTCTGGGCCACATGCAAATGTTTAATGCCCTTTCTGTTCCACATCAAACAACGGCTAGTTTTAATGCAACAACTCGCACCTGTGTCTCAGTGATGTAAACTGAGGCAATACTGGCACAACTAGCCCATATAGCTTAAAATTACAGAACTGCATAGGCTTGGGTTGTTGGGTGACAATTTCCTCTCCGGAGGACACTAGTGACGAACATTTGTATCACCACCGCCTAATCTTAAATATTCATTTGCCTCTAGTAATTAAGAGAGAAAAGAAACTGGTAATAAAAGTAATGCAAAGAGCTAAAGTGAAGATCATTGAGATACTGAGGAGGGAAAGTAACTTCTTCAGGCTCTCTTTAGGCATGCTTGGAATCTGTCTTGATAGTAGCTCCATAGCACTTAATAAAACTAATGACATTACAGATTTAAAGCACTTAGTGGCTGATTATTGACAAGAGGATGGAACTATGCAAAAAAGCTTAATGAAACGTTCAATAATTAATTTGTTGTCACTGGAGCAGTGAGCAATATATATAGCCATTAGTATCTTGTTTTTCTGATTTGGGGCATAATGAAAAACACTGGAGTACATCAAGCCAGTCCCTAATAAAACTGCTCCCAGGATGGGGTTTTGGAATGCTAGCTAGTGCTGGGCTACATTTGAACCAATTATTTTGTACAGTCCTCTGAATACTGATGAAGATGTCACCAGGAGAAGAAGCAGAAAGAAGCAGAAGGAAGGGATTTAGTAAACACAGCAATGGTCCAGGGAGACTTACATTCAAAACTTCACTTATGGTTGAACATAAAAATATAATGGGTATCCAGTTGGATCAGATCAGTGGTCTACCTAATCCAGCATTGTATTTCATGCAGTGGCCAACAAACAGGGCACAAAGGCCAAATCCTGACTTTGCCTCCAAGCACTGGTATTCGGAGAATTAATGCCTATTGATATGAAGGTTCCCTATCATGTCTTGCAGCCATCAATGCCTCCTATGAATCCTTTTACTCCTGCTTTAAACCCATCTATGCTAGTGGTCATCACTGCATTCACTAGCAGTGAATTCCACAATTTAATTACTAATTGAATAAAAATTTCCTTTAGTCTGTCTTGAACCTTTTGCCCACCACCCTCATTGGTTGCAACTGAGTTCTAACATTATAGCGGAGAAGGGAAAAGTTCTCCATGTTCGCCTTTCAACACCCAATGTACAAGCTCACTGTACAATGATCTTGGGATCAATCACTATCTGTCAGACTAATCTAGGGATGGACATGAATTGGGAAAATGCAGCTTGGTTCGTGGTTCATGGCATGCTCAGTTTGCGAACCATGAACCATCACAAACTTCTAGACTCCAAACGAATTGGTTCGGTTTGGGAGGTTTGTGATGCGGTAGAATGCCCTCCCCAGCATGCTAGAGTTACCAAATTCACACACACACCAAACTGACTCTCCTCTACCTGCCCTCCAGGTTTGGTGAGGATTGGATTTATGGGGTCCGAGTTACAAGCCCCCAAAGGTACCCTTAGAAAAGTACTTTTGGGGAGAATGACGGGGATACAGAACAGATCCTTTGCAAGCTAGAGACATTGAAGTTGCAGGGGACTTTCCCCGAATACCCTCCAAGTTCCACCCCCCTCGTTGCTTTCAAGTTTGGTAAACATTTAAATTGAGTAGAGACAGTCTGTCTGCAGAGATAGTATGTCTGGAAACGAGTCCATTCATGAACTGGCATGACCCACCACAAACTGCTTGAAAGTTTGTGGAAAGTTTGTGCCGGTTGACCTGCCACAAACTTGAGTCTGCCGAACCACAAATTGCCCAAAATTTGTCATGAACTTTCGTTTGTGAGCCGATTCATACCCATCCCTTGTCTAATCTATCTCATTGTAAATATAACATGGAATAATTACATGTACATGCCCTCTAACATTTTTGAAGGCTAGGGACCAATTGTGAAAGTTAATAATAAATGTATGGTTGTGTGCGTGGACACTGAAACACCAAAATCAACTAAGGTCCATGTGATGGAGATAGCCCTGCTTAATATCGGTGTCTTAAGTAATCTTTCCTTTTCTTAAGAATGTCTTCTAAGCCCTGCTACATACCTGTACAGAACAGGTCAATAGTAGTGAGGCAACCTACAAAACCTTTTGAATCAGGTACATTTCACTGACTATGTACAGACATTGCACTGGATCCTATGACTCTTTTCCTTCCAGTGGAGAAAGACTTGGTGGAAGGAATTTATATGATCCAGTTTAGTGGAAGACAGTCATAGGATCCAACTGAGTATATTTCTGAAGACTTGAAAGTGGCATGATATTTCTGCATTGTTAGCTTCAGTATTTTATTTCAACCACAAAAAATGGGCTTGCAAATTATGTACCATATATTTATATTGGAACAACATAGCTCTAATACGATTCTGTTAAAGTTATATACTGGGGTAAGGGGGAGACGCTGCTTTCTGAATTCTGAAGCCTAACCCCTGGAAACCTTAGAACAAAGTAAGAGACCAATGGCACCTTGAATAAAACTTTATTGGTCTTAAAGGTGCTATTGGACTCTTACTTTGTTTTATTGCTTCAGACCAACATGGCTGCCCACCTCGATCTACCCTGGAAACCTTGTACACCCCATAGTATAAAGGTAAGTGATATATAGCCCGTTATACCTCAGGTCTTGCACACAGTCAAGTATTTGTAAAAAATGGTTTTGAGAGAACACTGTTAGCATTAACATAACACCAAAGGCCAAACGGGACTCTATGAGTCTGCCACAGGAACGCTGTACCTTTGCAGAGCTTGTTTTACCTTGTCAAATACCATAGGTGGGCTGACTGTGCTAGGGACTGTGGTGCAGGGGGTGAGGGACTCCTGCCCCCCTCCCCCACACTGTTATCAAGAACTGAAACAAGGGTCCCCGGCAGGATTCTGCCCCTGCTGCATTAATAAAGGTTTTTATTAAAAAGCTCTACAATTGTGCTGTGCCCCCTTGTGGACTCAGGGACATGGTATTGTCTTAAAGCATTAACATAACACCAAAGGCCAAACGGGACTCTATGAGTCTGCCACAGGAACGCTGTACCATTGCAGAGCTTGTTTTACCTTGTCAAACACCATAGGTGGGCTGACAGTGGTGCAGGGCGTGAGGGGCTCCTGCCCCCCTCCCCGACACTGTTATCAAGAACTGGAACAGGGGTCCCCAACAGGATTCTGCCCCTGCGGCATTAATAAAAGTTTTTATAAAAAAAGCTCTACAATTGTGCTGTGTCCCCTTGTGGACTCAGGGACATGGTATTGTCTTAACTTTAAGCTATGGCTAGCTCCAAGATGCGACGGGAAGGGGACAGGGAGAAGTGGATTTTTCCAAGACTCCTCCCAGTTTCTAAATCTTGACGAGGTTCCCTTTGTGTCAGCAATGAGGCCCTACGAGAACTTCCGCGTACATTCTGTTTTCACAAAATGCAACAGTGTCTGCAACAACGAAAGCACTGTAGATTGCTCTCTTCTACTTACTGTTCACATAGACATTAAATGCTACAGACGAGGTGGCATCTGAATTAGACACCAAAAACGTGTAAACACCTCCTTCTGTTCCCTTCAGTCGAGTAAGGTGAAGCTTGCTGGAATATCTACAGAAAAATCAGAAGAAATTCCGTTCTATTACTCATGTTATCCACAGCATATGCAGAAAGCAATCATGAGGCAGTTCACCAGCAAATGTGACATTCATCTATACTGTAGATGAGGATCCTTAAACTGTGCTGTACTCAGGAGTCCTATTCTGATGTGCCCAGCCTTTGCAGACAAGCACATTTTACCACCACTTTAAAAGAAAGCTGTTGGAAACAATTCTGAATTAAAATTCTGTTCTTTCTTCATGCCAAGGCTGTACTGCAGCGACAAATACCATGAGCAAATATCAGTGAGTCAGGCCGCAGTGGTGGCTAAAGCCAAGGGTCTGCAACCATTTAGAATGAAAAGGCCAAACTATGCCAAATTCAGGGCAAGAGATCAACAGTGACACTATAAGACAGCCGGTTTGCATAACTGGAAACACAAAACTTAACATCAGTGATGACTGACAGGTCAGTGAATAATCCATAAAACTTCCTCAAGCCCAAAATGGGAAATAGGATACAAATATTTAATACATCAAAACCTAAGTTTATTTATAAGTTCAATTTATATACCACCCTTCCCTGAATTCACAGGGTTCAGGGCATTAGCCAACAACAACAAAAAAAAACAATATAGAACAGGAATTAAAACAGCCAAGTTAAAATTGAAGAAGATTTAGTTCTTTAGATAGAAGTTTTATATCTAGATAGAAGTGTATTATAGAAAAATAAAAAAGTTTTGGTTAAAAAAAAAAAACCTGCTACAGCAAAGTAATTCTACACAAAAATGTTCTTAGTACCTCCATGGCTCCCTTTATCATTCTACAGACACAGGATATTTACTTTTTGACCTCAAGTCAGTTTTCCCCATAGCTTGCCAAAGTACCTGTGACTGTCACCTTTACCTCTGAGCAAGCTGTTCATGTAACACAGAGGCCTTTGATCTCTTACAGTACAATCCTATGCAAAGTAACTCCAGTCTGTTCTCCTCTACCATTTCCATCTCCGTAAAGCATCTCTAAGAAGCCCTTTAGTCTCATAAGAATCTCTGCCTCCCATTCTCTTCATGTACTGGTTAGCCTAGCACCCCAACTACCCTCCGATAGACCTTAACTTAAATCACTGCGTTTCCATTTTCAAAGAGCCACGTTTGGCTCTCTGGTGTCAGAGGTGGCTGAACCCTGGACCTGGGTTTGGCTGGATAAAATTCCCTACAGGGCACTCCAGATGGCCTTCAATGTGTTGCACACCCAGATGTCTCAGTCCAACATATTCTGAATGTCAAGAGGCTAAAATGATACCACGAAACCTGTGAATGCAGAGTGGGATGGAAACAAACATCACACCATCTAATTACTACTTAGCCAAGTCTCCTAAGAACATAAGAACATAAGAGATGCCAATGTTGGATCAGGCCAATGGCCCATCCAGTCCAACACTCTGTGTCACACAGTGGCCAGAAATACCAGTGCCATCAGGAGGTCCACCAGTGGGGCCAGGACATTAGAAGCCCTCCCACTGTTGACCACCACCCCCCAAGCACCAAGAAGACAGAGCAATCATGTCCTCTTTTCATTCATGCCATGCATTCAGCACAACTGCTCCAGATTAAATTTGCCATCTGTTAGTCCAGAAAAGGCCTCTAGCATGGTCTTTTGTTATACTGTTTAAGGTAACGTAGGCTATCAGCCACTGCCTTGGTTACAACGAATCATAAGGTGTATTCGCTTTCCTTCTCACTTTTGGTTCACCTTAAGCCTTTCAAGCTGGAGCCTCACCACAACCTACTACCTCCAGGAGATGAAAGCATTATGACAGCTCCCTTTAGGTACAGTAGCTGGATGCTGGAGAAGAAATGGAAATCTGGACACAACCCTGCACTGCTCTCTTGGCTTCTGCCAATAAAACCTAGAAGATGCTGGGAACTGTCACAGAGATCTTGCAGTGGTCCTTGGCCCATCTCCCTGGAAAACAGGTAGAACCAGCCATATCATAAGCCTGTTTGCATGCACCATTCTATATTACCTGATTTTGTCTATACTGGTGATTTGGACATAATGGTCAGATGAATTTTGCAGAGTTTCATTCATATACATCCATACTTCTTCCTCTGGTTTTGGATATGCTTCATACACCACTGCTAAATCCAGATTTTCTCCATCATTGACATTTACCGTTGTGTTTGTTGTAGCTGATAAACTGACATATCCTTTACCTGGTTGGTTGAAATATGAAAAGTTTAAAAATTACATTGCCTGTAGGCTTCCCAGTGTTTTCTGCTGCCGGCCTGTGTGTATGTGTGCATATTATTGGGTGCGTAATTAAATCAAGGTCAATGGGATAAGGAAACTTTACTGATAAAGTAAGATTATAAATTTCCACCTGCAGAAAACTGATTTTATCAGTTAAATGAAAAGCTGTGAGTGTCGAGTGACATTTTACTGAGTGAGGTGAGCAATAACTCTTGTGGCTCACAAAGGGATCCTGCGCTGGATATTGGATCTAGATCTAGCCATTCATGCCAGGAAAATTTATATTAAAATGGAACTTTAAAGTGCAGATGTTTCGCTGGATGTACATCAGAAGGCAGTTCACAATAGAAAAACAACCATAAAAATACAACACAGAGATCAATAAACAGAGAGTCAGCAATACAATAAGCTCTGCAGCAGTATCCTCAGATTAATCCAGGCTGTCTGGGGCTCTAATATTTAAGAACTAGCACCATGATTTGCACCAGACAGCTAGGAGCCAACGAATCCCCCCCACACACACACATGTGTAATGTATTTCTATAGTATTTGGGGAGGGGGGCTCTGTCCATAGTATTTACAGCTGATAATAAATGCAGTCCAATATAATACCTTGTCCGGACACAGGGCCCATCCCTGGCTCCAGATTCTGAGCTGCCACCATTGCCACTTCCTCAGCCAACAGAGCCCCTTAGTGCTGCCTCATTCCCCCAAAGTCCTGCCTGACAGGCCCCGCCCCCATGCTGGATGGGGAGAAGCATAGGACATGGCTACAGCCCGCAGGAGCAGCTGTGCCATTCATGCCTGTTGGGTGGGACAGTGGCCCTACTTGGCCAATGAGCCTCCAGGGTTAGGGGAGAGAAGGCAATTCTGCAAGGCCCTGGGCTTCATGGAAGGGAAGTTGGGGGGGGGGGAAGCTGGGAAGGACCATCCTGGGCTATTTAAAGCTAAGAATCTCCTGGCCAAGGAGGACTGGGGCTGCTTTTCACTGCTGGGTGAGTTCGCAGAGATCACGGAGTAAACAAAGCATCCACAAAGGAGGAGGAGGGAACTGTTGAATTAAACCCCCTTCCCTCCCAACCTGAAGCCAACAGAGGGGTAGAGGGGCTTCAGACTTTCTTGGGAAGTTCATCTGAAACACCCCCCCACTCCGCAGTCTCAGTTGCAACTCGGTGTCCTCCTCACATCATTTAAGAAATGCTGCAATGTAGCCACTAGACTGATTTTATTTCATGCCTGGGTCTAGTGATACCATCTAAGAAGCAGAACCCTCCCCCCCCCAATTACATAAAGACATGTTCAGAATACTTTGGCTAATTACAGTACATGAATATGCTCCTAATCAGTTTAGCACTTATGGTAATTTTAATATTTAAACAGTACTACGTGTTACAGAAATCCAACACTCAGGGGTTTTTGTTTTTTTCCAGGGAAGCATGTTAATCAACAGGGCAATATAAGCATTTCTGAAGGCCCTTGCCTAGACTAATCTGTAGGGCATGAGAGACACTGAGACACCTTGGCGGGAGGGTGGGGTAAAAGTCCAACAAATAAATAAATAAATAATAAACAATGCAACAAACTTTCCCATGGGACCTGCAAATTAAAGCTGTCATACCCAAATGTTCCTCCCTGCTCGAGTTAATATTTAATACGTTCCATATACTTTCCATGCATCATAGTAGAGGGAAATGCATGAAAACGTGCAATGCCCTTCAGTTGTTGAATTCATTTTAATGGGTTAACCTTCCCAAAGACGGCCACCAAACCTCATCATTGTATGCTGTTCTTTATAGTGCTATTCTGTAAGGCTTTTGAATGTTAGCATACATTCTTAATGGTTTTTGATTGTATATGACCAATGGGCACTTTTTCAGTGGGGAGATGATCTTTACTGCTTTTCACTGTTGTTAATGTTTTTATTCTGTTTGTTGTTTTAATGTTTTTACAAATTATTTTCATTTCAAGTATTGCTGGTATGTATGTCACCTTGAACTCTGGAGGGGGGGCAAGCAACTTTAAACATTTATCAATAAGCAAACCAAACAGTAAACACCAGAAGATTTCCACTACATCCACTGCTTTGAAACATCATACACTTTCCATGCCAACATCCATGATTTCTTCAAGAATCAGTACCTTCAAGAGTCAGTACCTATCGAAAAGTATCCTACAACTGGCCCTGCCAATGTAGACATGCTATTTATACACATGAACTCTGTGCAGCAGTTACTTAATATGGGTACCCTGTGAGACAGCATACTGCATTTACATTGACAGTATCATATAAATACGGCATGATATGATTGTCATCATCTTTATTGGACTGCAGTGTTATCGCAGGTATAGAAAACTGAAAGAAAGGTTCTTTAATCTGGGAGGATCGTGTGTTGTCTGAGATAAATGTATATATAGTGAAAAACTGGCATTTTGTTTTTCAGCATAACATATTGAATTTACTACAGGGCATTTCAAATCCCCCCTTCCATATCAAGGAGCAAAGTTTATGTAAATATCATTTGCTCTCCCCCATGACAGTGAAACACAAGTGAACTATTATTATTTACCTAGTACTTTCAAGGTTATAGTGGCATTGGATGTTCCGAAATGGTTTCTTCCTTGGCACAGGAACACTCCAGAATCATTCACTCCCACTGAACGGATGTTCAACGTTAATTTTTGTTCATATTCAAAATTACCTATATTCTTGCTTTTTCTTGAAACATTCTGTCGGCAAGGAGGGGAAAAATTAACATCTAAGATACAGTGTACACAGCATCTTTCACAGATAAATTAAAAATAGACGTAATTATAACTTCACCATATTAATATTCATAACTTAAAACCAGAATAATAAGCCATCGTGACGAACCTGTCACTGGAACCTCTCCATACAAAACAACTATATTCTCGGGGCTCAGTTCAGAAAAAAAAAGAAACGTCCTTCCCAGAGCTGTACTCATTTCCCCCTCTGTTTTTTTTCTTCCTAATTTCCTTTCTTTGGATACTCTCCTACATTCTCAGTCTGCTGCCTTCTTTTCCAGGAATAACTACAAAATTAGGAGATATGTCCTGATTAATAAATGTGACGTTTCGGGGCATTTTTCTTACATTACCTCAGCAGTATGGAAGATACTGTTCTGCATCAGAAGACTTGGGTCATGTAGGAGGAATGAGCTGGCTGCTAAGCAGGTCAACCTCGCGACAGAACTGCCCCCCACTTCAAAGAACAGGAAACCCCAGGTTACGAAGCAGCTAGATCACTGGCTCCTCCCACAAGGTATTAGATTTCTGATGCTACTGAATAGGTGCAAGGATGAGGGCTGGTGTGTCACTACGGTAACGCTGCATAACATCTGGATAACGTTTCAGGTGGGTAACAGTGTTGGTCTGCAGTAGAAGAGCTACATTTGAGCCTGGTAGCACCTTCACGACCAACTTCCCTTCATCAGATAATGATAATGATAATGATAAAGGGAGATTTGACTCTCCAGAGCTTATACCCTGGAAATCTTGTTGGTCGTCAAAGCACTGTTGGAAGGCTTAGGATTCTAATTTCAAACTAGTCAAACACGACGGCAAGAAAGCAGGTGGCGGCGGAAAAGTGCCCTCAAGCCACAGCTGACTTATGGTGACCTTATAGGAGGCGGTTTGCCATTGCCTGCCTCCGCAACATGGCCCTGGCATTCCTTGGAGCTCTCCCACCCAAATACTAGCCAGGGCTGACCCTCCTTAGCTTCCAAAATCGGGCTAGCCTGAGCTATTCGGGTCAGGGCAAGAAAACAGGGTTTCCACTTAACAAGAGTTTCTTAATTGATGCGGCTTAGCGGCACCCAGTTCACTTACCTGTGGTGAGTGTTAGTGATGATGAACTGCTGGGGGGACTGGTTTTCCCGGAAGGGAAGGGGCTACAGGGGAGGAACAGCACGAGTACCCGGGGCTGGCACCCAATTTGCTAGCTGTGGTTAGCAGGCAGTCACCATTGTGTCTGCGCCAGCTCATTAAACACATATCCTAACAATAGCAAGATATATTTTTCATGTCTCATTTTCAAATTTTAGCAGATTGCCTGCTAATGATATTTTGAAAAACAGAGATAAAAGTATTTCAGTAGATTTTTATTCATACAAATGTGGGGGGGGGGATATAAAATGCACCAAGGAGAACAACACAAAAATATGAGCAGACATCCTGCGTGTAAACAAATTTTCAGATAAAAAAAATAGTGTGACCTTGGAACAGTCCCAAAAGCACCATCTGCAGGGCCCAGAGTTGACCGCATGCTATTGAGACTGGCTTCACGCTGGCAAGGGGGTTTGCCAACAGAAAAGCACTTAAGAGACAGAAGCTCTGTTGCTACCAATGGATTAGCTGGGAAAGGCGTGTTTCTCCAAGGACCCTGGAGAGAGATTACCAAGGACATATTTGCTCGAGAGTGTATGATTTATCTAGCACTGCACTGCTGTATAACTTCTTTCTCTGTGCACACAAGAATGGCTAATTATGCATTCAAAACACTGCCATTAACAACAGAAGACCTGTCAATTAATAGTGGGACTGTGTACAACAAGGCTAGAAGCAGCCTTATTGGGAGCTTTTCCTGTGTGTGTCAATTACAAAACAGGTCACTGGAAAGTTCTTAAGCCACCAAAGGTTCAGAGCCAGTTCGACTACTATTAATCAGGGAAGTGGCTGCCATTCTCATGTGGATGGGGATCCATACTGCTACTGTGTTGCATCCAGATCCCTTGGGTGGATCTTTCTGGATCTGGTTTAGTACCTCCACACCTCTTAGTGTCACTCTCCCATCTGTTGCTCACTGAACAGCTGCCAGAGGATTGGCTGTTGGGACTATTTAAGAAACCTCCCAAGAAATCCAGTTTTGCAACAGAAATCCCTACCCTTGCAGGTAGTGGAGCTGCTGATGTAGGGCTCCAGGATGTTCTAGTGTGTTTGCCTCTCTATGGCCATTTCCCTTCATGAATCTGGCCTTTATTTCTGCCTGACCTGCTTCCATGGCTGGCTGCCTGCTTAGAGGAGCCAGAATCAAGCTACAGGGAACAGCTTCTTGGAGTTCAAGTCTTGGCTTGGTTGCTTGGAGCTCTTGATGCAGAACGGTTAGCTGGGGAGCTCAGATTCCATGTCTGTGGGCTAGCTGGGGTTCATAAATGCTGGGAAAGTCTTGTCAAAATGCCTCTGGCGTGTGAACATCTGGATTAGTGTCTCATGCAGTCAGCAACGCAAACAAGCACTCCTGGACTCAAAAGACAGCAGCACTGACGCTACTATCACAACTTGACCTGCAGCTTCTCCTTGAGGCCCTCCAGATCTTCATTTATCTCCCCTGGTTCTTCACATTCTAGACCATCCTGTAAGGAATGTCTTCCTCACCCCTGCATACTTTATTGACTGATTAGCTAATTCAGTCCTCCCTTTCAGGTGTGTGTGGCCTGTGAGATCTAATGTGCATTCCTTCCACACAGTGACTGCTATGGGGGTGTTCAGCCCAGGAGAAGAGCATAGGTGGTTTGCCATTGCCTGCCTCTGCATAGCTACCCTGGTAATCCTTGGTGGAATTTAAAAAGCAACAATATGAATAAACGAGCAAATGAATGAGAAGACACTAAGACAAGAATCATGAGACATTCAGGACAAAGCAAAGAGAATCAAATCAGGAGATGAAAGACAACAACACAGGGAAGACAAACTGAAACCTAGAACCAAAAAAAAGGCTGAGGTGTCTGCTTAGCTGCTCTGGACTTAGGATGACGAAGTTAATTGAAATGAGTCATGGGAAGTAGGGAAATGTGGGTGGAATCCATTAGGGCCCGTCAATCAGAGGGGAAAATGGTGGTTGATGCAATTCCATGTAGGCTGTTGCTTAGGACTATGCGTGGCAGAAAAGGAAGGAATCCACAGAGGCACCCATTTGAGACTTGCCAAGGCTACTGCTCTTGATAACGACACTACTCAGGAGAACTGTTTTGTCACAACTAATGAAGTATACACGCCCAATGCAATCCTGTGGGCTTTTTAAAAATTGTTCTTTCAAGTACATTAGGTAAGACTGATGGGGTATAATGAACTCACCGCTTTGCTTTGAAAAATCCAATCAGCTTGCAGAGTGCTATCTACGTCCCTGATTGTACACGTAACTTTAAATTCTTCACCTTCTTTGAGAAGCTGGTTTGCTTTGGATAAGGTGATGGCTGGAAGGGATTTGTGAACTGGAAAACAATTTAGATGTGCATTATTTTTCATTACATGCAGGGCCTCCGAGGGGGGAGGGACAAAGAGGGAATCAACAGTTATTAACCTCCCAATAAAACATCAGGCCTCCTAGAGGTATTTTAAATCTTTGCAATGTATTAAGAGTTGTAGTTTGATGCCACGTACATTTCAGTAGTTAAAAGTACAAAAACACTCACCGCATAACATACACAGATAAGCCGCACAATATTAAACTGGGTGACAATGGAAGCACAACCAGGAAACTCATTCCATGACAATGATTGTAGGGTTATGACCCGTGGCATGGACATTCTATTATAGAAGCTGAGTGTACTGTTTGCAAAAATAATTACCTAATTATTTTACTCTTGTTAATGTGCAAACTCATGCAAGAGCATAGCAGTAATACTAGCTGCCTACGCCATGGGGAGTGGAGGGGAGGGATGGCAACAAAACTCCGATGCAACAGCAGCAGTTATGACTTTGCTAAATGTACTGATCCCGATCAGGGCTTTTTTTTGTAGAAAAAGCCCAGCAGGAACTCATTAGCATAATAGGTCACACCCAACAGCAGAAACTCATTAGCCTATTACGCCACCCCCCATGCCTTCCCTTGGCTTGCCCGGGCTCCCCGCAGCCACGGAGCACCCGGGCCTCCCCGATCCTTCCAGGGGGGCCCTGGCCCACCCGCCTTGGAGTCGCCGAGGGGGGGGGAGGGTCGCTCTCCAGGCCTTCCCTCTGTAGCCGTGCATGCAGAAGCCAGCCGGAACTCCGTTCCTGTGCGTTCCTGCCCAAAAATAGCCCTGATCCCGATGAAGGTGTGTGTTACCTGCTCTCACAATAAGGAAAATTTGTCCTGACATTCTCTCAACTCCATTTTGCAGCACCACACACTGGTAACAGCCATGAAACGACCTCTGCACGTTTTTTACTGTAATTCCTTTCTGAGGATCTGGAATTATCACCATATTCTCAGGCAGAGGTTTTCCACCACATTTCTTCAAAGTGAAGTTTGAAACATCTGGATCAGTCACTGCACAAGGAATAAGACCATCATCATCTTCGTTTGCGAAGACAGAGCTCTCAAAAAGGAACAGGTGCTGCGGGTCTGTAAGGAAAACAGAAACCATTTTCTTCAGTATTTTCATATTACTGTATCCATGTTCATGTTAGTGAAAAAAGGAACAAAAAGCAGGGAATAATCCTTTAACCTGTTTCACAGGACAGAATGACTTATTTAACTGCATCAAATCTGCTCCTCCCCCCTTTTTGCTCTTTTTCCCAATCTGCTCCCTAAAATTCCTAAAAAAATAAAAAAGATTTTATTCAACGTAGAGGGGAAAATGTCTAGGTAAATCAGTAAAAACTCTGAAGTAACAATATTTTCAAAAACTACAGTTCATATGTTTCCAGCAATTGAGAGTTTTAAACTTTTCTCAAAGTCCTAGAATCTTTGAGATGCAAGGCTTTTGTTTCGGTATTTCCTAAACACTCCAGTATACTTTCTTGAATTTAACGGACTCTTCAGGTTTCAGAAGGCAGGGATATACTACTAAGCGCCCAAATTCCTTCTCTGAGCACGCCAAGGATCACTCTCTTTAGAGCAATCTCCCTTTCAACTGGGCAGGGAATCTCTCCTTTACTTAGAGGATCTATCCCTGTTCCTGGCCCAAATGGGAGTCTTCACCAAACCACCCACTCCTCTTTGCCAACCTTCTCAGTCCTCAGTCAGTATGACACTGTTTTCAGTCAGAGCTAAACTCTCCTTAGAGCTAAACTCAAACTGAATTATCTTCAGCAGTCAAATCCCAAGTCTTTATGCTCAACTGACGCTAACCAATCAAATCCCTTTGAACAGCCTGTCACTGAAGGCTCTCTGGCTCTGTGAGGTATTAACTCTTCACAGTCATTCACATGTTTACACAGCATTTATGAACTTTTACAGAACAGTCCATCATACCCTCACTGACACTTTAACTGGGAACAGTTAGAGACAGTGAGGTTGGATCTGTCCTAAATTTTCCAATGGCAGAATGGGACTTTCCTGCCTTCTTCTCTCCACTTCAGCCCACTGATCTCCACAGAACACTGCTCCTGAGGGATAGCACAGGGGACCCTGAGGAACAACCCTGGAGGGAGGGGTTTGCAGAAAGAAGGGGAAATCAGCAGAAATTGCCAATTTAGTCTAGATCTCAGTTAATTTAACAGGGAATTGGGATTATGGAGCTATTTAAACCCTTTCTCAGATATTACAATACCCTGAAACTGTGTACTACCCATGATCCTCTGGAGATATGTGGTTGCCATGTTGTATAAACAGGGGCAATGAACATATTTACTATATGTGTATGGCCTCGGTATGCATGAAAATGAGGCCTGAAAATGCCACTGGTCAAGTTGCATGTACTGGCACTGTACTTACATGGTAAATACATGCACTGCCTCGTTCATACGATACAGCATCTGAACATATCGGGAAGATCTACATGCAGTTGGTAAGCTTCCAGTATGCAAGACAGAAGTATAGTCTGAAAAGGGCTTCACTCTGTAGGATTCTTTCCCAGCGGCGTTTCTGCTCTGCCTCTAGCACACCATTTCATATGGAGAAGCGGCCAACAAAGGTTCCTCAGAGAAAATCACATGTATGACATGGAGATAGATTCAGGTAGGAAGCTGTGTTGGTCTGGAGCAGCAGAATAAAGTCTGAGTCCAGTGGCACCTTTAATGTATTCATTTTTATTTATTTATTACTCTGATTATTACCGAGGCAGGCAAGACGAAAATAGTTTTATTAATGGTATAAGCTTTTGTGCACTGTGCTGCCCCCAGCCAGCGTTTGAGACTGTAGTTAAGCAGAACTGCCAGATATCTTAAGAGCAGTGGTTCCTGGGAATTGAAGTCTTTAGTTAGACACCCCACAGCATCCAGCACACAGGCGCGCGAGGGTTCGAGTTACAACTCTCTTCCTGTAGCCTTTGTTCTCTACAACCGGCAAGGAGTGGGGACAAGCATCCTTTTCACCATGAGCCAGAGAACTGAGTTAGATTCCACCAGTTGTGCAGCTTCAATGTAAGTAGAACACTTCTGAATGCATGTGAAACTGAATAAAATGATTTAATTCTACTTGACCCTGGCTCGTGCGCTGAATCACGTTCAGAAGGCGTTTGTTGACAAAGCGTCAGACGGGATATGCACCTTGAATAAAATTTTGTTGGTCTTAAGCATGACATGAAGGCATCACAGGCCCCCCTGCTGTTGTTGGTTCCCAGTATCTGGTATCCACGTTATGTCACCTTAAAATATGAAGCATTGCACAGTATATAGCTTGTACAGTGTCTAGTCATCTGAGACGATTACGCATCTTTATTATTGTTTTTGCTGCTATATTTATTGTTAGGGGCCTAACATTCAGATCTATAATCTGTTAGTGAATACTCCTTTTTAGGGGTTGGATTTCTGGTCCTTGCAACACTACCGTTCCATGAGCTGTTTATGAAAATATGGACTTGCCTCAATTCAACAGAGCTAATGCGACATGCACCCACTGGTGTTGATTTTTACAACACTACTGAGATGTCTTTTCATTTACAAATTTAGGCAATTAAGAGCGCAGCACAAAACAATTCATCAATTTTTAATCATCATTATAATCCCTTGTCTGATTGAAAACTAGGAGGAAAAGAAGATGTTTTCCTGTGACTTCCACCAAAATATTATGCATTCAATTTCAAGCGTACCATGGACATTTGTACCTTGAAAAAAGAGTGGAAGAAATCTGTGAGTGGACCAGCAAATGGCTCATCAGTTGGATAGACTCTGTGCCTCAATGAGCCTTCCTTCAAGCCATCCTGTAATCTTCTCCTCTACACTTTAATCTGTTTTATGTGTTGGCTTTGCCTGTCTGTGAGCTGCCCTGAGCCCGCGTTGCGGGGAGGGCAGGCTATAAATTAGGGCTGCCAAATCCCCCCGGGGGGCAGAAATCCCCCCACCCCAGAGGCCCGTTCCCCAACGCCAGGGAATCGGGCCCCGGGGGGAACCCCGCCCCAGCGTGCACGTCACAGGGAAGTGACATTATGACGCCGGGCACGCTGGGGGCGGGGCCACAGCCATACAAGGGAAAACTCTATGGGTAGAGTACTGAACTAGGACCTTGGAGACTCAGGTTGAAGCTCTACCCTGCCATGGAAGTCTGATGGGTGATCTTGAGCCAGTCACACACTCTCAGTCTTACCTACCTCCCAAAGCTGCTGTTGTGAGTATAAAATGGGAGGAGAGGTGTATTGCAAGCTGCTCTGGGGCCCATTGGGCAGAAAAGTGGGAGGTAAACATCTAAATAAATATAACATTTCCCTCTTGCAATCTTCTGCTGGGTTTTCTGATCTATCTGGCATCCCTTGATGCCACTCCCTGGTCAGCTGTCATGTTACAGGGCGGTTCCAGAGGGAAGCTGTGTTGGTCTACAATGGAACAGTTAAGATTCAAGTCCCACAGCATCTGAGAGACCAACAAGAGTTTCAGGGTATGAACTTTCGAGAATGAACTCTCACTTCATCAGACAATAATACGAATGGAGATCTCAGTCTTTTTATCTCAGATAGAAGGTGGAAGGGCTGCTGTGATGTCATTCTGACCACACAGTAATTGGACCTAACAACACCAGCCATACTATCTCAGGTTCATTCACATGTTCATCTTCCAACATTATACATGCCATCAGATGTTAGCAATGTTCTTCTATTCTCCACCTCTACTCTATGCAAAAGAATAAATGGATATAAATCCAATATTAAAAAAATCACAGCACTCAAAAAGCAGTGGGACAACTTTTTAATCTTCTGGGACTTTCCATTGCTGACCTAGAAGGGGAGTCATCAATAAAAAATTTGAAGAGGAAATTACAATTTGAGATTGCTGAAGTTGTGTTAATTCACAAGTTCAGAACAATGGGCAACACCCCCCCTTCCCGGTGTAACAGGCCGGATTAACCCCCCGGCCAGAGTAACCCCGGGGTTACTCTGGCCTAGCCTAGAATAACCCCGGAGGGGTTATTGAGGGGTTATTCTGGCCTAGGCTAGAGTAACCCCGGGTTAATCTGGCCGGCTGTAACAGGCCAGATTCACCTCCCCCCGGCCAGAGTAACCCCTGCCGGGCCAGGCCAGAGAAACCCCGGGGGTTAGTCCAGACGGGGGGTTACTCTGGGCTAGCCCATACTAACCCCCGCCTGGCCAGAGTGGTAAATTAAATGTCAGCTGAATCCAATCTCTTCTTCTTTTTAACTTCTTTTTTTAACTTCTTTTTAACTGCACAACACAACAACCTGATGGGTGATCCAGCTTAGTTGAGTGGTAACTTAGATGTCAGTGTAACCAGCACAGTGTCAGCTTCTGAGGGTTTCAGGTCCATGAGAAACTTGTCAGGTAATCTGAGATTCCTCTTGGAAGTGAAGAACAGGGTATGAATCCAATCTCATTAGTCAACAGACCCAAATATCAATAGTACTACGACTGACATTTCTTTGGAGAGCCAAATTTTTAAAACTTAAACTATATAGGTAGGTAGGAGCTGCGGTGGCTCAAGTGGTTAAGACACTGAACTGCAGGCTGTGGAAGTTCAGCAGTCGAGACCCGAGTGTGCCGCATGATGGAGTGAGCTCCCATCTCTAGTTCCAGCTCCTGCCAACCTAGCAGTTCGAAAGCAAGAAATTGCAAGTAGATAAATAGGTACCACTTCGGTGGGAAGGTAACAGCGTTCCCTGCGCCTTGGTGTTTAGTCATGCCTTGGGGGTGCATTTGGCTAGATCCAAGCCAAAAAAAATACCCAAAATATACCTTATCGGTATTATTCAGCTATTGGGGGGTGCATTTGGCTAGATCCAATATACCTTATCGGTATTATTCAGCTATTCTTTCAGACAGATATAAATCTAGGTATTTTTTCAGCTATCTGAAATTGCCGAGCCTGCAAAATCCCAAAAATATTCGAGATTTTTTGAGACCACCGGATACCTGAAATTAAAGGGTGTTTAAAGGGATTGCAGTCCTTTTAAATGTCTTCCAAGTGAAACTGCCACTTAGCAAAGGTGTTTAAAAGGGACTGTGAGCCCTTTAA